CTGAAACTTTTTGTCTTCCTCAAAAGTTTTTTGATTGCATAATTTGTTATAATGTTCTTGTAACTTAATATGAGTTTCTTTAAGGGATGATAATTCATTTTTAATCTTATTAATTTCTCCATTAAGTTCTTCAGCCTGTTATAAAATGTAACCAGAATAAACAAGTATATCAAGTATATAAACATGTTTTGTCTGAAAATATTTCATTAACGAAAGTTTCAGGAAATAGTCAAAGAATCAAAACAATCACAAAGTCATTATTAATATTAAGAGCTACCATTTATTGGATTGGGCTGACTACTTAATAAGCATAATTGCATACTCATCAAAATGCTGAGGTATTATTATGCCCAATTTACAGGTAAGAAATGTGAGGCTCACAGAAGTTAAGTAACTTGTCCCAGATCAAGCAGATACAAAATGGCAGTGAGGATTTAATTCCAAAGCTAAATCTAAGGACCGTGTCCTTAATGACAACATTAAACTACCTCGTCACATAAAACAAATTTATTTAAATTCATTTAAAAAAACAAAAAATTAAATTCATAAATAAGAACTTATGAATTTTACATTCTACAAACATTATACTTTCATTGTTTTCTTAAAGTTTAATTTTCTTGTTACAAATTGCATATACAGATTTGAATTCCACTAGATGAATACTAAGCACTAAGTGGTACCATAGAAACTGACATGTCAGCTGGATATTTATATCTATAAATTAGACTTTCACTCCCTATAAAATTTCATAATCTTTATTTTGGGGGAAAGAAGTACTCTCACAGAAGTCTCAAATATGAGACAAGGTAAGTTCCACTGAGGAGAAAAATATCCTTTTGTCATGGAAAGGCATATTTGTGGTTTTATAAAAGTTTTAAAAGTTTCTTATAAAAGTTTCTCTGAATAATTTTAAAACTCCTACCACAGATTCCACCACTGTTTGTAATATTCCTTACTATAAATACTATAATTACTATTCCTAATATTTTTATAATTAATATTCCTCTATAAAGCCCTATACAGAGGCCAGTAGATGTAAACTCATGTTACTTTCTGTTCATTTCACCTATTTTTAATCATCTCTAAATCTATCTCTGCAAGGCATTTCTTCTCCAAGGCTAAACTTTCCATGTGTTCTTTATTCCTTCCTCTCCTATCTCTCTTCATCCTAATTCTAGAAATTTTCTCTTTCCTTCTGCCTCTCACACTACATCAGCATCTTCTCATCAGCCTACGAATATGCTCTACTCACATTCCCAATATTTTTCCTCTTTGACTCAGTTCCTCTGTCCCTCTCACCTTTTTTTTTTTTTTTTTTAAGAGGGAGTCTTGCTGTGTTGCCAGGCTGGAATGCAGTGGCGTGATCTTGGCTCATTGCAACCTCC